CCCCCACCCACTACCCCACCGAGGTCGCAGGGCTGCCGGAGGCGTTTTCATTCGCGTCACACATTTCCCCTGCAAGTTTACACACAAACTTAAGGCCATCGCCGACACCCTACGCCGGCACTGACCCTCCGACCTCTGACGGCGACCCTCCGACCTCGTCTCCTCGACCTCATCCCCGCCGCTCCTCGCTATTCGTGGAATCACTCCAGACTTGGGTAGGGGGTGGAGGGGTCGTCGTAGGCGACACACTTTTGGAACAAGAAATTTCATATCCCAGGCGTCAGATTACAACCCTCGCTGACTTTAACTCGCGACGGCTCCGGCCTTCAGACGAGCCTCATGTAGTGCTGGCTTTTAGTTTTCAGCCTCCAGCGGCCTCTCTGGCCTGCAGAAGAGTGCCATTTTTCTCTAGAGCTCCCTCGACTCCCTCTGTTACTTCCTTCTTCTCCCCAGCGGAAGAATGTCGTAAGAAGCCGCAAGCCGCGGCACATAGTGCCTCTTATAGGCGGAGGCGGAGCTATCTCTCGGCCAGCACCATAGTTTGCGTCATCCTACCTATACTCGTTTCACGTAAATGGCGCTAGTGGAGAGCGTTGCGCTTTTCGACAGACCGCCAGCAGCTGTCGGCGACTGACCGGCTGCCGCAGAGGTACGAGTCGAGGTCTTCCCGCTTTTCACCGGCGAGTGGCTGGACGCTGACTAGTATAACGCTGGACCTTTGACCTCTAGCCCTCTTGCTGCAGCCTTACCACCTTACGTAATGCCGAGCAGCGGCTGCGGGAGGCTTTGAGGTTGTGCTGGGCTGTGCGCTTCTGCTCTACCTCCGCCCCTGATGAGTTGTCCTTCACACTACCTCCCCGGGAGCTCCCTCATTTGGCCGACACGCGTACTTCACTCAGCTCTGAGGAACGATTTGCGGCATGCCTAGAGAGAGAGAGAGAGAGAGAGAGAGAGAGAGAGAGAGAGAGAGAGAACCGCAGTGCGTCGCTAAGTGAGAGCGGGGGATGTAATTATGAGCGGGATTCATTAAAACGCTTACACTGCAGCGGGCACGCTATATGACGCTGCCGTCTCGAGAGGACAATTTAGTCACAAGATTTCCAGCAGAAGAGTGTGAGAAAACGTGCACGTGGCGGTAAAAAAAAAATTGTATATGCGAAATATACAAGCAGCGTAAAAAGTTCTGGGGGAGCACAGTTTGAGCTGTGTGAGGATCCACGGTTGAATCACCTTGAAAAAGGCGTGCTTCAAAACAACTTCTCTCCCGGACCGCCCCGTTCCACACCCGGCTCCACCCCGCGTTCTGCGAGCACAAAGCGCTGCGCCCCCTCACCGCCGTGCCAAATTCTCAACTGATTGCACCTGAGGGAAAACGGACGACGACGACTTTGCAAATTACTCCGATTTGCCGCGTGCATGACCCCGGGTATTATTATTATTATTGTGATTAGTCAAAAGCGCCGTGCAATTAGTTAAGCCTCTTGCGGTGTTTTGCGGCGCTGTGGATTTTTTTTTTCTTTCTGGATGTGTGTTAGGGGAGGGGCGATTAAGACTGGGGAAATGCCCGGCCAGAAAAGCCCAGTATTAGGCGCTCGAGGTAGCTCCATTACTCGGCTCATTTTTTTAAATTAATTTTCGCGAAAAATAACACAACATTCTTTTAAAGGATTTTACTATACATTTTACCATTTTCTTTTCTAGTCGTATATGATGAGCGAGCGGCAGCGGCAGGTGTAGTGTTTCTCTCTCTGTCTGTCTCTGTCTCTCTCTCTCTAAATAAATAAAACGATTTCAATTTTTATCTCTCCGTCTCTTTTTCTCTCGGTAGCAGCTCTCTACCAATAATGCGCTCTGATATCACCCTGGATCTTACCTCAATAACCCCCCTTCCCCCGTTTCTGCCACCGGCTGACGCGCGCCGTTGTAATAAAAGCGGCAGTCACTCTGTCAGATTTTCGCATATCAGACTGTTGTGTTGGCAGCGCCGTGAGCGAAGAGCCCAGGTTGGCAGCATTGACGAGCCGCCAAAGACAGACCAAGCACCAGAAGTGTCGCAGCACCGAGGGGGAAAGAGGAACGAGAGAGGGGAGGGGGATTGTCACCGCCAAGTTTGGCGGAAGGGAAATTGCGCTGGAAGTGTTTTTGCGGAAGTGCTGTGGAAGGCGCAGCAGTGGCAGTAGCGAAACTTTTTTAAACAATTGTTTGTAACGGTGTGAGTTTGACATTGCCTAGCATACACGCAGTCCCGTGCGTATCGTGTGTTCTGGGTGACGAGCTCCATAATTTACTTTTTTCGACTGTTTTTATTGTGTGACCAACAGAAAACTTTTACCGGGCTAGGGGGATATGGGATGAAGACCGCCGGCCCCATGCCCTCCTTTTTCTGGTCCCCTCATCAAGCTAGCCCGTGCACCCGGTACTCTACCGGGTTTGCGTGTGCCGTTTTCTTCTTTTAAATAAAACTGAAAAGAAGTGGTAAAAGACTTTTTTGTCACCACCTCTCTCTCTCTTTCTCTCTCTGTCTCTTTCCCTCTCCCTCTCTCTCTCTCCCTCTTTCTCTCCCTCTCTCTCTCTCTCCTCCTCTCTCTCTCCTCCTCTCTCTCTCCCTCTCTCTCCCTCTCTCTCCCCCTCTCTCTCCCCCTCTCTCTGCCTCCCTCTCCCTCTCTTGCCTTCTCTCTAGCCTGACGCATTTTCTTGCCTTCACATCCACACAAACATTCTCCCTCACTTGCAGCACTCCACCCCCTCATCTCTCTCTTTCACTCACCCGCTCCGTCCCCTCTGTTTCTCTCTCTTTATCGCCACACACACTCGCACGTTACAGGCTGAGCTGACGCGACTTTTTAGTGGAGACAAATTCGTTGAAGATGAGAGCGAAGTGAGTGGTGGCGTCTACGAGGCGGTCTGTCCTCTCTTTCCTGAGGCCCCCTCCCCCCCCCCTGTCCTCCTTGGTGCGTCTGGAGCTGTCGATGTGTTGCCCGGCCTTGTGTCACCCTCGCTGCGCTCAGCCAGCCCCGTTAAATTGTGATTTTGGGCGGCGCGCAGCAGTTCCTTTGAGTTGCCGCTCTCGCCCCGCCGCGCCCGCCGCTCACCGCTGCCGCTCAGTCAAACACGCGTGTCAAGATGGCGGTCGTGAAAAGCAAAACGGATTATTTTCCAGCCGCGCGCTATTTGACTTCCGCTTGTTGACACTGGCGGCCCGGCCAAGTTGCGCCGCTGTTGTTTGTTGTGCGCTCCGCTGCTGTGCGCGACGGTGGCCCACGTCTCTCTCCGTGTCTATCCGAGTCTCCTCTCCTCTTCCAGCTCCCTCTCCTTAGTCTCTCTTCCTCTCCCTTCCTCTCTCTTCCCAGGCTCCCCAAACAATTTCACGGAGGTACAGCGGCCCTCGCGCCCCGCCGCGCCGCTGTGTCGCCCGCCGCTGGGTTTTCAAATCGCCCGCTCGCTGCGCTGCTGCGCCCCGGCGCCACTGCCGAGTGGGCATTTGTTTCGGGGCCGGATTGAGCCGCAAGTTTCGCAAAGTTGTGTGCGGCAGTAACTCTGTTAAGGCGGTGCGGCCCAACGTGCGTGAGCCCGGTGTTTGTTTTTTCGCGCCAAATCCTTTTGCGCCCGTTATTCTTTTCTTCCTTTTGCGATGACGTCCGTCGTCTTGGTGTCCCGCCCCCCCATCGGGGCCGTGAAATAGGTGAAGAGTCGTCCATTTTCATGAGCAGCGCAAGGGGACGTCGACGAATCTGTTTGGGCCCACCGGGCGACGGCGCCGCCACGACATCGCGCCACCTCCCAGTCATAATACACAACTTTAACTACATTACCCTTGCAAAACTTGGCAATTGCATTAAAAATCCTCTTGTCGGCTGATGAGCCCCCTTGAGGAGGGTCTTCGTTTTATTATCGTTATACTTTTCAGCGTTACTTCCTTTTTTTACGGGTCGATTGGTATGCGTTATAAGTTTCTGTTTTATTTAAACGAATCGCTTGATTTTGGCGACCCTCTTTTGTTTGCAATCTTGGTTTTCCTGTCTTTGTTTTGTGGATTCCAGCCCAGATGGGGAGGAGAAGAACGCGGTGAACCGCAGGGGAAGGACCTCCCTGTCGTCCCGCTGTGCCCTCTCCACGCCTCGCCACGTCCTATTGCAACCGCAAGTGTCGCAATCCAGCGCGCTTCTTTGTGGGGTCGCCTTCACCTCAGTTTAACCTCCCTTCAGCCCCTCCCAATCTCCGCTGCTCCACCTCCAACACCACCTCTCCTTTTACCGCGCCATCTGTCCTCTTCTGTCCCCTCTCCCATATACATCAGATGCAATGCTGCCCCCATCCCACCTCGAACCCCTTATTCACCCCCTTGTCCCAACGGTGGCTGTTCTCGAAGGACTGCATTATAAGAGGGACACTTATTGTTGTTGCAGGTGAGCAGGGAGACGCTGAAGCTGACGGTACGCTCCTTAGATAACGTCTGCCTACAGAGGAGGACCTTCGTCGCAGCTGGGTGAGTCTGTCTGCTTGCCCGGTTATGCACAGAAGGTTGTACACTGCCCCTCCAGATTCTGCTTTGCACCTGCGAAGGATTCGACACTCGGCCGCCCTTTGTTTGAGATCTGGCTGTGGATTTTGCAATTGCAAAGAGTTAAACGCAAATAATAGGGAATACCGATGCAAAAGTGCAACGCAATTATTGCTTCGGCTTTTGTAGGCCACTGGGCTGAAAAACCGTAGCGAGGAGAAACTTGCGAGAAGTTGGCTCTGTTCGCGAATTTATTCAACTAGCAATTTGAATATGGTTCGCTACAACACATGGGATGTGGTGGCGCCTGCCAAAAGATTATTATTACTGTCGGGGCGAATAGAAGGGCTGGAAGGGGAAGTACCGCCCTTGTATCGGACAAAAGATGTGCTATGGGGCTGGCGAAAAGAAGGGGGAGAGTAGTAGAGAGGCCTGATATGTCTAGGGAGTAGCGTGGCCGGCCACCTTTTGTCTTAGGATTACACGAGCAGAAGAATGAGCGAAGCAGCACAAGCGGGGGGTATAGACGGGGAAAGAAGTCACAGCCAGCAGCAGCTCGGGATAAGAAACCCTCAGCGGCAAGCGGCTTTATTTATCAGCAGAGAGTGTGCCTGCTGCAGAGAAGAAATCCGCACAGAAATCCTCATAATTAACTCAAGGCAAGTTGCGGCGCCGAGCCGTGGTGGTGGTGGTGCGCGGAGGGGGAGCAGTGTGTTGTGGAGGAGCGAGCGGCCGCGGTTTGATGGCGGCTCGTGTGCGTGCTAGGCTTCGATGAGGCCGGGTGCCCGCCCAATAGCCGACTTAAATCTCTTTTTTTTCCCTCCAGCCGTGTACACCTTCCTGTGTGTGTGTGAGAGTGTGCGCGTGTGTGTGCCGTCATGGTCAGCCCTTCCTGTCTGTCGGCCCCGGCCGGGGGCCGAGCCACGGGGGTTCGGATCAATCCTCAGTCCACTGCTTCTATCCACTTCCATCCACTGGCGGGAGGAGGCCTGCCGGAGGGCTGCCGGGGGCCGGTGGAGGGCCCCGGGGGGTCGCGCTCTGGTGCCCGCCCTCGGCCCCGCCTCGGCCAGGGGACATGACGGGACTACTGCCTGTCAGTAGAGCAGCGCACGCCTCAGCGCCTCGCGCCCGTCTCACGCCGATGTGTGCCGGGAAGAACAAGAAAACAGTGACACTGGGGCGTTCGAAGTATAAAATTAATGGATCATATTGGATTAAGTTGGAAACGTTCTACTCCGACGCAAACCAAATAGGCAAACCATACATTTGGACGAGCACGAGCCATGTTTTATTTTTTAGTGATGTACACTACAGGTAATTTGTTTTTGTCTGCAGAAATTCTGTGAGCCAAAACGTAAGACAATGCAAATTCAATTCGTTATTTTTAAGATTTAGAATTGCACCTGGTGGAAATGTGCAACCAAAACACATCTCTCGGTGGACGAATTAGTCCGAGATCCCATTAGTCCTTTTCAAAAACTGGAATTGTAACGTCAATCGGCAATCTTTATCAATACTGGAACGGCAATTGGCAACGGGGAACTTTTACCTTCGGGTAGACACAGCAGCCACTGGGGACTGTCTAAAAAGTTCCTCGCAATTTAGAGATTTGAAAAATTGCGCTTCAATACCATTGCAGTCTTTCGATGGGTTGGCATGCATCGCCGAGAAGTGTAAGCAGGACATACATGCACTGGGTTATGGACCCAACTTGTCTAGCTGGTACTTTGTGACCTCTCCTCCCCGCTGCACTGCGGCCTGGCGCGGCCCGGCGCTGCGGCAGTGGTCCTCTGCCTGCTATAATATATACCACTCCTGGGCGTCCTTCTCCGCGTTTGAATTATTGCCGAGTTACTTACTACTGAGTGTGGTGTGTGTGTGTGGCGGGGGAGGCCGGCCGCAGCCAAAGTTGGGGGAGTAGGGGTAGGGCGGGACTACTCGAGATAGCAAAGCCAATATGTGCGTGTGGATTCCGCAGTGGCTCATGGAATCAAACAAACTTCCATCCCGCCGTCTTAGTAATAATAACGTCGCGGCACTGATTCGTGTCCCCGCTTTATGAGTCCTAGGCACGCGGAAGTCGTCGACTTCGCAGGCTAAAATAACCATGGGGAAGGCCATGGTAAAATATAAATTATACATGGCAGTCTGTTATGGTTTAATGTTGATTAATCATGGTAATCCATGCTAACCATGAAACACCATAGATCAAGGTTTGGAAAACTGTGGTTTAGAAACCGGTAATCATAATCCATCGTCAAGTTACCATGCTGATATGGCTCCTAGTGAACAAGATTACCATGGTTACCCATGGTTATTTTAGCCTGGGAATTTCTCTCTCTTGCTCCGGCACTCTTCAATGACATACCAGAGCTTTCAATTGTGGGGGCGTTTAGTTGTTTCTTTTATTGAATACATCAAATTAAATGATCAATCTCGTTCGTAGCCATTTTTTTATTCCAAGCCCCCGGCTCTCTGCCTAAAGCCCCCCTTCACGGCGCAGCGTCCTGTTTTTCCCGACCCCAGCGCTGACACGTGGCGTCAGCAGGATTGCCGCCCTCCACTCATTTCCATAGGCTGCCCGACTTCTTGAGTGCGAGTGACCGCCCCAGCACCGCCTACCCCCGCTGGGGCCATCCCCCCACCGACTGGAGCCCTGTTCGGGGGTGGGGCGGGCAGGGGCACAACTGTACGGAGCGGGTCGTGGGGCGTTATGTTCGCCCGAGGGCCCCCCGCGGGGCCTTGTGACGCCTCCGGGGCCTCCCTCGGAGCCCCCTCTGTCTCTGTGTGTCTTTTCCTCTGCCTCGCTTCTTCCTTTATTCGCCTGGTCCTCTCTTCCCTTTCCCCCTTCACCTCGTTTCCCGAAGTGAGTTTGGACGGTGTTTTGAAATAAACGCACATTTTGTAAACGTTTGTTGGTGGCCCTATCGTCGGCGCAAGCATCCAGAACTAAACTAACACTGAGCGGCGGGTCGGGGAATGTCGGCAGTATGTGGGAAAACAGCAACGCACTGCGGAGAGAATTTTTCCCTCCTTTTTCTGTTTTTGTTGAAGACTAGCAACAGCGGCAGCTAGATTGCATTATTTCGCGACTTGCAACTGCAACACGAGCGGGTTTCCATTTTTGTTTTAATTTGTTCTTTTTTAAGTATTTGAAGAGGATTGCAGTTTGCGTGGTGCGACTCGCCACGCCTGCGGGGTGGAATGGCATTAATGTTGAACACCTTTACTTTCTCGTTGTTCTGACCGAGCCACGCTCTGCTGGTCCGGGCCGCACTGCCACGCCATGCTATCCACGCCATTCCCCTCCTTACCGTGCCCCGCCTCTCCCTGCCCTGCAAGGGCGCCGTCGATTCCCGGGCGCGCGCCTGTCTAGCCTCAGGGCGCGAACACGGTGCCTGTAAGCAGGTTTGTAGAACCTTTGGCCCCCGTTGATTATCGAACACTGGAAATTAGGTCATGTCGAGAGGCTAGGACTCTGGCCTGGTTGCTGACCGTAGCTCTGGATATTCGACAGGACAGTATTCTCACAGCGGGTAGACAAAAAGTAGGGCTTGCTTCCTTTTGAATGGTGTTAAATTTGAATACATTTAGAAAGACACGGAAAATGTTGGGAGAAGGTTCCCTACCGTTACATTGCCATCTCACTTGTTATGGTACACCCTGAAAAATATTTTCTTGATTCAAGTGTAATCTGACACAAAATGAAATTTACCGTCGAAACAATCACTGCACTGATAAACTAAGTGTTCAACTGCACAACACTTATAAGTGTGCAACTGTAAGTTAAAGACTTGCAAGTGTGCAACTGCAAGTTAAATACTTCCAAGTGTGCAACTCGGTAGGTGTGCACTTGCAAGTGTGCAACTCCTTGGTTGAACACTTCCTACGCAGTAAGCGTCCAATCTAAGGAAGTGTGCGTGCAACCGAGGAGTTGCACACTTGCAAGTGAACATCTACCGAGTTTAACACTTGCAAGTGTACGACTACGGAGTTGCACACTTGCAAGTATTCAACTTGCAGTTGCACACTTACAACTGTTGAGCAGTTGAACACTTAGTTTATCAGTGTGTGAAAAATAGTAGGTAGGTTTACAGGAAAATTTTTCTTGACGCAAGTTGTAAAATTACAATTTGAAATCGTAAAAATACATGCAGTATGTATCGACTTAAAATCCATTGGTGAGTAAAAAATCTGCTCTCGTAAATTTACAGCTCAAATTTATAATTCGAGCTTACAAAATTTTTGTAAATTTACGCCGATATTTTTCACAGTGATCAATTTTGTCTTTGGAATAAGATTTTTCTCTCGTTCGAAAGAAAATATCAGCTTGTTTCAAGGGTAAACTTGATCTTGTGTCAGCGTGCACTTGAAACAAGGAAAAACTTACTTGAAACAAGAAACGATTTTCCTGGGTATAACAGTGTAGGTATTTCATCAGGAGGGGCTGTCATGTCTCTATGCACGATTTAAGACGAGGAGCGTAGGAGCGTATGCGGGATCCAAGACAGGACATGCGTGCTCTAACAGCAGTCGCTGGAAAAGAGTCTGCCACCACAACCGCTTTCGGCGAACTAGAGCGGCTAGAGCGAGATCCTCGGGGAAGTGTCCTGTGGCGTCCCAAATTGGCCTTTTGAGTCGTGCACGACCACCCATGGGAAATACGAGAGCGTTCTTTTTTTGGCCACATCAGTTGATAGATATTGTTTAAGTGGCATCTTGATGACGCGGTCGGGGTAATTGGACACGGAACACAGCGTAACCCGCGAGAGGTAGGTAGACAAGGCGGTGGAATCACGCACGAGAAGAACACACCCAGAAGTTGGTACGCTACGTACGTCCAGCGACAACAGAGGGGTGGTCTGTTGTTTTTTTCTACATATGCACTGAAAATACAATGGTGCTATCTAATGCCTTTTTACGGGCATTGGTGAATTGGTGTCTTTACAAAGGCGCGACTGGCGCCTAAAGGTGCTAGTTTTGGC